CTGGATAACATTTCACTGCCCGTCTCGAAAGACGACTTCATCGAACTCATCAAACTATGTATTAAGGATTGCAAATTCGAATTCAATGGGGAATATTATGCTCAAAAATTTGGTATGGCAATGGGTAATCCACTCTCACCTGTATTAAGCAACCTATATATGGAATTCTTTGAAAAGAAACTATTAAGTAATATTTTACCACCCTCAGCAGTCTGGTTTAGATATGTTGATGATGTATTATGTCTCTGGCCATGTAATGAGGACCTAAAAGCTTTCCTACCACAACTTAACAACTTAGCCCCCTCGATCAAATTCACTGTGGAATTAGAGCAAGACTGTAAATTGCCATTCCTAGACTGTCTGATACACAGAATAGGTAACACTTTTAAGTTCAGTATTTATAGAAAACCAACTAATGTGTGTTCATACATTCATTATTATTCTGCCCACCATAATAAAGTCAAACAGTCAGTATTTTCAACAATGTTTTTACTTGCCTTGAGAATTTGCAGTCCGGAATTCATCGATGAGGAATACAAATATATATATAATATTGGCTCAAACCTTAAATACCCTAGATCTTTCATAGACAAATGCTTAAACATTACTAAGAAAACTTTTTATAGAACTGACCCCAAGCCCACCCATGACCATAAGAATATCTTAATATTACCATTTCACAAAAATTTCTCACACATTCCTGCACAGCTAAAAACCTGGAACGTCAATGTGGCATTTAAAAACTCATGCACTGTTAAACAAATGTTAATCAAGAACTCCCCCAACAACACAATTGGTTGCATTTATAAAGTTCCTTGCAAGGAATGTAATATGTTTTACTTAGGCCAGACAGGTAAAGATCTTGCAACTAGAATTAAACAACACAAATACAGTGTTAGGACAGGCCAGGAATCCAATGCTCTGTTTGTTCATTTGAGGGATAACAAGCATTGCATTGACTGGGATAATGCCTCCTCAATATTACCATGTAAGTCAATTGACAGTAGGAACATCATAGAATCTAGTCTTATTAAACATACCGAAGCATTCAACATGAATTTGAGTAACGGCATGTACAAGCTGGACAATTTTGTAATTAAGAAGATTTGTGATCAGGTGAGAAGGCCGGGTCACTTGACCATCTGACCTGACCACCAACCGTTGTGTGCTATTTAAAGATTAGTAGGGTCATTACCTAATACCTGACCATTGTGGACCTGGTCTCACCCTCCTCTGTATATATACACCTTGATTTGTATTACTCTCTCTAGTCTGTACTCACCCCTGAAGATGTGAATTACACGAAAGCGCTTGGGAACTTCGTGTTTTCTTCTTTCCTTGTGGTTATCAGCATATATATATATATATATATATATATATATATATATATATATATATATATATATATATATATATATATATATATATATATATATATATATATATATATATATATATATATATATATATATATATATATATATATATATATATATATATATATATTATATATATATATATATATATATATATATATATATATATATATATATATATATATATATATATATATATATATATATATATATTGTTTTACTCAGTTACAGGCACACACAATCCTACATAAAGAATGCAAAAAAAAAAATCATAAGGTAAAAAACATTTCTTCGTGTGCCAATGAGAGTAAGCAGACTGAGAGGGAGGGGGGAGCCCTGTTGCTAAGGGTCGGAAGAGGCAGTGTCCCAACTGGGCTGCATTGTTATGGTGATGTTGAAGCTACACAGTCAGCGTCTTAAGCAAATGACGGTTGTGTTAAACTTGCATTTATCTTTTCCTTTGTGGTTTTAGCTACATATTTTCATCTAGATATTTTATTAATGTTGTTTATGTGTTGAGCATAATATTGGGGTTTTCTTGTAGGTGGGGAAACGAACCCCGTTTTTCCCATTTGCTCTGTTGTTCGAGATATGAAAATTCACCTGACGAATGATTTTTCAGAAACCTAACCCCTTCATTAAGTGAGTGATACCTGTGTGTGTGTGTATCTATATATATATATATTTTGAGTTGTCATTTCTCTTACTACTGTTACCCTCCCATACACCACTTTATGCTAGGATTTCACTAAACTTAAAAAATAACCGAGATTCTTTTCTGTGTTTGTAACACAAACTGACCTGCTCCAGGTGGACATTCTCGCTCTGTCTGGTAGCTTCCTTCATGAGGTTCTTTTCCGCCAGACCCGGTTGAAAGCCAGGAAGGCCGAGACCCACACCGATGGTGGCCTTGAAGGGATCTACAAGGCTGTTGTAGTGCGTCCCCATATGGTAACTCAATCGAATGGGTTCATTATCTGTTTGAAGACTTCCTTGGAAACTATTTATAGGTTCTGCAAAATATTTACTTATGATTATACTGTTCAATATTTTCAAGTATTAAACAATCCATGTTCTATTACAAATACCATACACTTAAGTTAACCAAACTTAAACTAACTTAACCAAACCTAAAATAAGCTTAGCTCAGGTAAGTTGACTGAATTTTATTTAAGCTAGCCAAACCTAAGCTAAGAAAGCTAAACCTAGTCATATACCTTCAGTTTCTTTACCCTCTGGTACATTAAATTCCTTCCATCTTTTCCCAGCTATAAGGCAAAAGCATTTTAATACTTACCTACACTGTAGCAATAGACTTCGATGATGCGGTTATACATTTCTGACATAGCAGCTAATTCTACGTGGTTACCAAAACAATCATCACGTCTTTTTCTTTGGACATATGTCTGGAAGTTCTCGGATACAAAAGGAGCAAAAGCGTCTTCATTCAGAGCCTGAAGATAAAATAAAAAAAAGATTGAACATTCACCTTTTTTTAATGTCCACTACGGTTAAAAGCATGAAAGGTACTGTTTCCACACATTAAACCCTGAACATCTCTGCCTTGAAAACAAAAGCACAACAATTACATTAGATACAGTAGACCCCGGGTTTAACACAAATAGATTAAACTATTTTGATGCAATGTTACACACTAAATTGCTCTCATTTCTTAAATATTACACAGGCAAGTTTGATGTTGTACAGTGAAGTCTTTATATTTACAGTTGTTTTGGAACAAATTATTTAAAATGAGTGTCAAAAGTAATTCTAGGGCTGAGCAGGGATATTTCCAAAAGTTCCCCATCTGTGAGCTGCACGTTATGTTATGGTTATTTTTCAACTCATAATTTTGGGTAGATACACTATCCCTAATTTTCTTTACTCAGTTACATACACACTCAATCTTACACACAGAAAGTGAAAAAAAAAATTATTAAAAGGTATTAAATATTTTTCAAATCATAATTTTTGGTAGTTACACATAATTATTTTTACTCAGTTACATGCACACACAATCTACATTCAAAGAGTGAAAAATAAATAAAATAAATAAAATAATGTGGCGAGTGAGTGGAGGTCAGAGCACCATTAAACTAGCACCAACTTTCTTAAAGTTATGGTCTGCAGCAGACACATACGGGATGTTACCTGTTTGACTCTTTGTCCCTCTATATCTTACCATAGAAACATGTCTTCTTACATACTTTTTATAAATCCTACGTTTCGTATTTTCTGAGTTGGAAAAATATTTTATTTCCTATCAAAGATATATGGCAGTATCAGCCATTGATGCCACTTGCTTTGACAACTGTAAGTTTGTGGCAACTTATTTTTCACCTAAATGCCACTAAATGCTCTTAAATAATAGTACTGTACTATGCTACAACCTAATTACTAATTTACACAGCATAAACACCTGTCACGAACAGGTTAGCAGTAACGCACCATAATCGTAAGGTTACCCAAAACTTTGCTTGGAGCCAAAAATGATCTATGTTCCAAAACATTAATATCTGCATTAAAGCAACAATAATTTCAGCCAGGTTAGTGTCTCCCACTACTAAATTTACTAATTTATGTAACAGAAACACATTTTCTTCCCAATTATTTGAGAAAAAATTCCTAAATATGAAAGAATGGTGAAAAATTTGTGGATGACAACCACCACAACAATAACAACCATGGCACAACTTGGACAGCTGTAGTTCACCTGTCCTGTTCAGGCGAGCTAGAAAGTTAATAATAATGAGTTCAACCAATTCCTGAGTGAGTCCTTTTATTATCAATTTTCATTCACTTTCTCTTTATGTAATTGTATTTATATACATGAAGTTGAAAATTTCAACTATCCAGTCAGATACTGGATAGTAAAAACAATCACTATCCAGCCGAATAGTCTAGTATTTGGTAAACCCTAATTACAACAGTTAACAACTCTTACTGATACAACATTCACTTGCAGGTTATTATAACAGTTCACAACTCTTACTCCAAAGAAATCAACTCAGATAATTTTCTGTACTTGTAGCTTCTTTAACTTAAGGCTGTGACTTTTAGTGTAAGAAGACCATTAATCTCTTGTGTATGGGGGTCTGACTCTGGGCTGAATAAAATAGTCTGGCATTAGCCAAATAAAATATATATTAAATATATTTCTAATGATTCACTTCTAAGAGGCATTGATTAATTTTTATATGTTGTATTATTTTTTTAAGGTTTAATATCAAATGAAGACTACCGGTAACTACCAGCTGATGAAAATATAAAGTTTTCCCAGCCTTCAACAGATGATAGCAAGGGTGGGTACATCGTTTCCTAGCACAGTCACCTTGAGTCGGAACAAATGCATTCCAGCAATCAGTTGTTCAGACTCAAGGTGAGTTTTAATGTGTTAAAAAGTGTTTTGAAATAATGGAATTAATGATGAAGTGAGAAAAAGTGGCATCTGACCCTAAATGGATGGCAAGGAATAAAGGATTTCTTATTCCACCCCATATGCTCAAAAACTGGAACACATGGGATATGAAGAGTCCAATGATGTTAGCCAACATCAATACGGGAACAGAAGTTTGCCTCCACTTAAAGGTTAAGGAATTTTATGGTGCACATTTTGGGGCTGTGGTCCCGTACCCTGCATTTTCCAATGAAATACACAGAACATTTAAATGTGATTATATTTTGTGTGACAATTTTCAGTTCCACTGGTGTTAAATCAGGGATCTACCATGCAATGACTGCTTCAGAGCAAATGCTGGGGAATAAAATAGCAAACATGGAAGGAGAGAGAGAAAAAAAAAATAATGGTACAGTATAAGTTTATTCTTTTCCTACAGTTTAAATATTCATATACCGGGTAGGCATGATTTATTAAAAAAACAAAACAAAAAAAACAAAGTTATACAGTACTTACGATATAATCCATGCAGTGCTTTCGAACATTATTGTGCATGTCCTGGTCACCAAAGACTTGATCAGCAATGGCACGGAACAGACAAGCCCCATCTTCTCGCATCTTCTTGATCATAAGACCTTTCTTTTTCATCTTCTTTTCAAACCTTCGCTCTTTCTGTGAATAAAGTGTTGATATGTGATAAAAATATATTGTTTTTAAGATTTAACCCCTTTACTATGGAGACACCACTTTCAACATTTTATTTGAATATTGCTAAACAATTTTATTTAGCTCAGAGGAGGCACCATACACAAGGGGTTTGTAGACTATCTCCACTAACCTCTTCACTACGGGGATGACAGTTTTAATATTTCATTTGGCTATCACCAGGCAATTTTATTTAGCTCAGAGGCAACACCATACATAAGGGTTAAATAACTATTGCCCACAGGTAACTGAGAAGGTACCCCGGTCTCAATTGCTTACAGAAGTCTCCCTTCACTTGTTCTGGCTTATTCTCTAACTTCTGTAACAAACATATTTGGCTACAGTTTTCTCCTTCCAAAACAAGGCTCAAAGACACCCACCTGGTTCATTCATGTTTCTTCACTTAACCAAGCATCCCCCATTAAGAGTACATCAATATCTAAACACAAACACACACACTGCAGCTTCCCTAATGTTCTTCCCTTTCACATCATTGTCTTCCTAACTTTATTCCTCTATCCCCTCAGTCTTCTCATCTCTCTATCTCCTACATCTGAATTATCTTTTTTTTATATTAAATTTTACTTTCCATTTTCTCAATATGGCCACATCTCTAAAGTACAACCTGGTCAGCTCTCAGTGCAACAATCTTTACTTCCACATCTTCTAATATTCTACAACTTATTTTTTGCCTTTTATACATTCTACTTAGTGCCCTTCAGCATATTATTTTGATCCCTTCTAACTTTTTTCCCCACCAGGATTCAGGGTCCATTGTTTCACAACCATAAAATAACATCAGCTTGACTATTCCCCAATACATTTTTAAGTTTTGCTCGTTTGAGACAGTTCTCTAAGAAACCCCACATTCTTCTCTTTCTACGACATCTGAATACTGCACAAGTTTCACGCACTCAACAAAAACCGGATAGTATTCAACGATTTTCTCTTTATCCCCCAACTGTATCTTCAACACAGTACTGCCCACATAATTTTTCTAATGATTATATTATACACTTTTTCTAGAGCCATTAATGGCATAAACAAAATACAGTATTTCCATTTTCCAGATATTTTTATATCATACTCCTAAATGTGATCCACATATACTTTTTCTTTTTGGAACACACTGTTCTCCTCAATATTCTCAGTTTCTGGATTCACAAAATTTGCATATTCACGATTTAGTACAGCAAATGTATACCAACTCCCAATTTGCAACCTCCGATCTCTAGTACAGTACAGGGGTATTTGTGAAAGTTTGAGGGGATGAAATTCACACATCTTAGGGGCAAAATTGCCATCTCAAAACATGAAAAACATCATAACTCACAAAAAACAAACACATTTACAGAATTGTAAAAGTACATTGAGAGTAAAACATCATTCATTTCCCTTAAACCATTTCAAATTTACTATAAAATCAGAGAATGTTAAATTTTTACCTTATTCTCCATTCCATATTGCATTAAGGTAAATTTTCAGTATCACTATCAATGTTGACTTCCATACACTGTACCAGTGTTAAAAATAACAAAAAATATTAAAGAAACACCCCTTTATTATAAGGGGGTCCTCGTTATCCGAGCTTAACACTCTTGGGGTTTTCATTCAAAATATATAAACAATACCTTATTTAACATACTTAAAGTTTTTTGGGGCCAGTGTGTTGATGTTACCTAATCACGCGGTCGGGTAATTGTGCACGCACACACTCATTTCAGTGAACCATACTTTCCATTACATCACTCTTTTGCTGTGTTAATTTCAACTCTGAATATTTCAGTCAAGTTGTAGCCCTTGTTTCTATATTTTTTTTACATTCTTAAGTATGGTATGGATGGTAGTTTCAGGCATGTGAGATGTCAGACACACGCTTACCACTTTTCTTACGATGGATCACTTCTACTTTCATGTTCATCCCATAGCTACTATGTTTCCATTTGGCACTACACCACCTTGCTACAAAAAATTCCACCAATGTCACCAAAGGCACAACAGAGTAAAAAAAAAATCCTACTGTACAAGCATTTTCAAAACAGGCTTGGGGACACACGCGACTATTACTTTGAGAAAATAGGAGGTGAGTCTACTATATGCTCTTTGTTTCTGCACTACAGTATTCTCATAAATATTGATCCTTCCATACACCAACCCTGTTCCTCTTTCAACATTTCAAAGCATTTCCATCCACTCCTGATCCCTTACCGCTCTTAAATGTGTTTACAGCTAGTCTCACCCTTAATTATGTATCGCTCTTTTCTTTCTTGCCTGCCTCGGCACTTTTCAGTCCACTATACCCTAAATATAGTATGATAATTCTTGCTTCTGTTTCATGTTTTTTTTTAGTAGCCTTTAAAAATATTCCGTTCCATTTAGCATTTACCTTTTCTCTTTCCTACAAAAAAATAAATAAATAAATAAAATCTTTTGGGTTTCTCTCTGAACTCTTTCACCACTGGTTGCCAATTTATTTGGCTAACAGCTTCTAGTTCTCTTAAAACTTTTGATAATATTTTCTCAATCTCTCAGCTCTTCCTATTCACTCTTTCTTCACCATTCTAATTTTCTTTATAATTAATATTCCTGTAGCCCTTACTCTTTCATAACTTCCTACTTGCAACTAGAATTCATTTGACCTTCTCTTCTCTTTAACTAGCACAGCAAGCCCTTTATCCCTCCATCCTCTTTTCTTTTTCTTCTTTATTCTCATCACTTACAACCTATATACAGTGGTCCCTCGGTTAACGAGCACAATTCGTTCCAGAAGGTTGCTCGTTAACCGAAACAATTGTTTCAATGGGTTTTTGGGTAATTGGTTCCAGCTCAACGAAAATTACATACAAACTAAAAATAAATGCAGTAAAGTACACTTACTTTGAGGTGTGTATGTAGAAGGCTCCTGGTTGATGATGATGATGGGAATTAGAATGGGGGTGGAGGAGAAGGGAGAAGAGAAGGCATTGGGGTAGAAGAGAAGTCACCCCATGCCACCACTTCACCCATAAAATTTTAGTTCACTTGGTGTAATTCAAGATTATTTTCTTTGAATCAACACTGCACTGCGCTATATAGTATCAATATGTAAAATATATTTCAAAATGACCAATAATTTAACTGGAAACACAGAAAAAAAGCGTTTATGTTGAAGAGTCTCAAACAAGATGTTCCTTCCTCTGAACTGGTAAACAAACTGACGCCAAGCATGGTGTGTTGAGTGCTGTTTAGCACGCAAAAAACTAGTTTCCTGTACTTCAATTATGTTCAATAATTGTTAAAATGACTAAAAAATTTAATATAAAACTTTTAAAATTATTGAATACTACAACCTTCTTGATATTTACTAAAATGGTAAGGAATTTAAGACCTAAAACCGATTATACTGTATTGGCGGACTAATACTACAGCTGGTAAGCAGGCAAATGCAGGCGAAAACATGTTGGGAAAAATTCGTAAGGAATTCGTTAACCGAAGTGAAGAATCTTATGGAAGGTAATTCGTTAACAGAAATTTCGTTAACAAAGGCGCTCGTTAACCGAGGGATCACTGTACTGTATAGTGACTGCACTACCTAGAATGGAACTTTTAAGCTACTTCTCTTCTTCAACCCCACCTACTCTACCTTCATTTAAAAGTACAAAATTTCTCCAAAAATTTCTATATTCAGGTATTCAAAAGCTAGTCTTATCAGTTTGGTAATGCTTCACAGCCCAGTGAAGTCTTTGTAAAGATTATCTCTATCTACACAAAATTTTTTTCCATATAATGTTTTGAAATCTGACCCTCAGCTGCAACCTTTATATACAGTACAGCACCCCATAATACCAAGGCAATATGCATTTTATGGGGTATTTTTGTAAATCACACACCATTGGAAAATTAATGATTCTTTTTCTAATGTGAGGGAATCATAACAAATCAATGAAGATAGCAGAGAAATAAAACTAGAGGAAAGAACAGCTGAACCCTTTCAGTCCTACAGTTACACCTCATACGCTTAAGCAAGAGGTGTCTTGATATTCACTCCCAGTTTCAAATATCTTGGACCTATATGGAGAATACAGGAAGACTGGTATGTCTACACTGTTCCAAATATTGTGATCCTCTTAATCATGACACCTCATAGTTAACCTATCACTCTGGACTCCTCAAACAAGGTTTTGGGTTCAGTTCTGTACAGAAGACAATTAAGGCTGTGTGAATTGATAATATGGTGGTGTGATAATCTGGCTGAACTAGCTAACCTACCTTATCACCCAGCAAGTGTCAGATACAACATAAAAGATTAAATTAAGCATACAGTACAAAAAAATTGAAGAGAAATATACATACATCTTCATTGATCTGCTGTGAGGTTCCACCCAAATGGTTCATACTCGTCTCCACTGTTATATCCACTGTGATCATTGTCCTCTTCATCTGGAGGTTGAGAGGGTCCAGCCTGAAATAGTGATAATACTGTAATATTAATTTTTGAATGCAAGAAGTCATCTATTGATTAATTATCGGTCAGGGGATTAAGAAGAGGACGATTTATAGTTAGGGCACGCACGCACACACACACACATATATGCAAGTAAATCACTGTAGGTGCGCGTGATCCAGGTATATGCTGATAACCACAAGGAAAAAGAAAAACGAAGTTCCCAAGCGCTTTCGTGTAATTCACATCTTCAGGAGTGAGTACAGACTATGAGAAGTACCTAACAAGGTATATATATACAGAGGAGGGTGAGATCAAGTCCACAATGGTCAGGTATTAGGTAATGACCCTACTAATCTTTAAAAAGCACCGCAGCAGTCGGTAGTCAGGTCAGAGGGTAAGGTGACCCAACCTTCTCACCTGGTTACAAATCTTCTTAATTACGAAATTATCCAGTTTGTACATACCATTGATGTTCCAGGTTCCTTTACAACTAAAAACCTGGAATGCCAATGTGGCATTTAAAAACTCATGCACTGTTAAACAAATGTTCATCAAGAACTCCCTTACAATACAGGTGGCTGCATTTATAAGGCTCCTTGCAATGAATGTAATATGTTTTACTTAGGCCAGACAGATAAAGATCTTGTAACTAGACTTAAACAACATAAATATAGTATTAGGACAAGCAGAATCCAATGCTCTGTTTGTTCATTTGAGGGATAATAAGCATTGCATTGATTGGGATAATGCCTCCTCAATATTACCTTGTAATTCAACTGGCAGTGGAACATTATAGAATCCAGTCTCATTAAACATACCAAACGATCAACATGAATTTGAGTAATGCTATGTACAAACTGGATAATTTTGTAATTAAATTTGTAACCAGGTGAGGTTGGGTCATCTTACCCTCTGACCAACTATCGACTGCTGCGGTGCTTTTGAAGATTAGTAGGGTCACTACCTAATACCTGACCATTGTGGACTTGATCTCACCCTCCTCTGTATATATATACCTTGTTATGTACTTCTCCTTAGTCTGTACTTACCCCTGAAGATGTGAATTACAGCGCTTGGGAACTTCGTGTTTTTTTCTTTGTGGTTATCAGCATGCATATATATATATATATATATATATATATATATATATATATATATATATATATATATATATATATATATATATATATATATATATATATATATATATATATATATATATATATATATATATATATATATATATATATATATGTGTATGTACAGCTAGACCCGACTTCACGACCGCCGGACTTACGACCCGCAGTTGTGACCATTTTTTTCAATTTTTTCTTCAAATGGGCGACGATTTTCTATACCAAACGTTTCCAGTTAATGTAGTCTCCATGTATAATTAGAAAATTATGGGGGCCCCATGTGCATTCAGCTGACTACATTAAGGTAAGTGCTCAGTCACACTGTATCCATTCCTCATTATTTATTACTCTTACTTTACTATTTCAATGCAGATTTTATTAAAAAAAAAAAAAAAATTATCTATGTCGGACTTATGACTATTTGGACTTACAACCTGGATTTGGTCCCTAACCCCGTCGTAAGTCGGGTCTAGCTATTATATATATATATATATATATATATATATATATATATATATATATATATATATATATATATATATATATATATATATATATATATATATATATATATATATATATATATATTTTTTTTTTTTTTTTTTTTTTTTTTACTGAATATTAGATGTGTCTTGATTTACTTCATATTAAAAGACAAACATACCAGCTTAGCTACATTACATAAATCAAACTGAGGAAAAAACATATAACAGAGTGACTTTCCTTAATCCCTATAACATAATTTGACAACATTCTCTTAACATAACTCCCCTTAATCCCTATAACATAATTTGACAACATTCTCTTAACATAACTCCCCTTAATCCCTATAACATAATTTGACAACATTCTCTTAACATAACTCCCCCTAATCCCTATAACATAATTTGACAACATTCTCTTAACATAACTCCCCTTAATCCCTATAACATAATTTGACAACATTCTCTTAACATAACTCCCCTTAATCCCTATAACATAATTTGACAACATTCTCTTAACATAACTCCCCTTAATCCCTATAACATAATTTGACAACATTCTCTTAACATAACTCCCCTTAATCCCTATAACATAATTTGACAACATTCTCTTAACATAACTCCCCTAATCACTGTAACATAATTTGACAACATTCTCTTAACATAACTCCCCTTAATCCCTATAACATAATTTGACAACATTCTCTTAACATAACTCCCCCTAATCCCTATAACATAATTTGACAACATTCTCTTAACATAACTGCCCTTAATCCCTATAACATAATTTGACAACATTCTCTTAACATAACTCCCCTTAATCCCTCTAACATAATTTGACATTCTCTACACAAGGTTCTATCGACATTATTTTTTTATTCTCATGCAAGTAGCAATCTAAAAGGATTCTGCCCTTGGTACCGGGTAGTCAATAATGGCCAAGCTCAGGCACCACATGTATAAGAATGGCTGGATCGAAATTCATCTTCAGTGCCAGTACAGTATAGTAGTTTGACACCAAAAACTTGCACATATCTTTCTAGTCAATCTTTTCTGCTATCTGGAATATCTAACACCTAATACAGTAGTTATGATTATTTTTCTTAGAATTTTAGAGTTTCTTTTCACTGAAGCCTTCCCTTCCATCCCACATTACTCTTCACCAGAACCAACTACCAAGGAATTCTACAGGGGTTGAACCTAATACAATTAACCTAATATGAAGAAGTAGCTGAAGTTTCGATAGAATGACAAGGAAGAGATGCTCTTTGAATACTCTGATGGATGTAAACAATTTTCACCTGTGAATAGCTTTTAGCCCATTGTAGTCCAGTGGATAACTGCCTGACTGCCAACCTTGGTGGTCCAGGTTTGAATCCCGGCACTCACAGGTGAAAACTGTTTATTGATTTACCTGTGCACATTACAGGTTCTCATATACTCTGATGGATACAAGTAGAAAACTTATTTGATACTGTATATAGCAAATAGAAAATGCACAGTTAATAGTAATGAAGCAGTGTCAATCAACAGGGGTGCTAAGATTCACTCAGTATACAGTATCTGCAAGTTGAGGATGTGAACAAGTGTGTGTGTGTGTGGATATTTCTTCTTGTGGTTTATCATATCCTTTTCCTGTCATTGTCTACACTTGTCTTGCAAAATTCTTCACCTCACGCAAAAGACGAAGTGGAATCAAGATGACAAGAAAAAATATAAAGGGCAGTTTATTATATCATTTAATTGTTGGATGTTCATAAAAATTACTGTACATTATCAGGAATAAACTACACTATAAGGAACTGGCGTAAGAAATGAGGGAATTGAATTAATCATAGGGTAATACGACAAATCTTTTTTTTGTCACAAACTTCAGTTGTTGGCATTATCATTTAAGCAATTAAAAAACCTGTAAAAGACATCAAGCTGCTAAGAGCCAGAGAGAAGGAAAATCAGGAGAAATCTAATTTTGTAGAAACTCAACCAAAACTTTACTACAAATAGCATGTCTTCATTCACTTTTGCTCAAAATCCATACTAATACTACTCAAGAGACAGCTAGTCATCATTCTCTCTCAGATATCTAATCGAAAATACTCAACAAACACTATGTCTGCACTTCCACAGATGAAACACCAAACTCACCTGTGGGGAGAGAGCCGGGGGAAGGGCAGGAGTGATAGAGTTGGACATGGGCAGTGGATGGGGGTGTGTGTGCTGGTGGGGGTGGGGGTGAGAGTGGTTCACTGGTGTCACGTTCCACCCACTACTCGTACTTGGGTAAGGTGGAGAAGTGCTGCCCCGATGCTCTCTGTGGTCACGGTGTTTGGGACGCACACTTCTGCAAGCGTCCATGGAATCAGTACTGTACTTCTTTTGAACAAAGGGTAACACAGTGGGAATAATTTGCCAAACTAGTCAATGACCAATTTTTTTCTTCATATTAAAGCTTAATATTAAAAACTTAATGCTGGGATATCGGTTACCCATTACTACTGCTATTACTACAGTACAGTATAGTACTTCAGAATTTGACAAGTGCACATTCAAATATATATCATACAGGTTCTGGAGCTGAGCAATCATAATTAAAATTCCACTGCATTACCAAATTTCTAAGATAATTCCAATAAAAAAATAAATGTTTAGCAATGTTTCTGATTTTTTTCCCCAAATTTATGGTAAGAGAACAAAATCAACATTGTATGGTGGGATTCTGATAGCTCAGGAAATTCAAAATCTATGTAACACAATGCTGTATATAATTTTTTCATTCTTCATGCAAGAGTAATAATAATCAATTACAATATATAAAACTTGCAAGGGACAGCATTGCACTGAACCAAGCCTGAGAATGAAAGGATATAAAAAATGTATGTACTGTAATTTGTAATCAAAAGATGAGCATATGATTTACTTTTCCACAGGAGATGGAGGCCACTTCTTACCTTCTAATATGCACTAATCAAATTCAATTTCTTGGAGATGTATTACAGGTATTGTATATGTAATGCCAATTATTTGGATCCCAATACTGACTTTCCCCCTATCATACCTGAGGGGGCTGGCTCTGTAGCGGCGTTTACTGTGTGATGGGCCGCTCTCGTGCGCATCTTCGAAATGTGAGGGAGAGGTGTGAGATGGGCGCTTCTCCTCCCTGGGTGCAGACGTGGGAGGTGGGGGGGGCCAGCAGGGGGGTGGTGACTGTGACGACAAATACAAGGTGCCCCGGCTCGTACCTTCCCCAGCCTGTAGGTTCAGTCTCAGCATCAAACACACAAGACATCAAACAAACACTGCCTCTCACACATGGGCTCGTGCAGTTTTACATCTTTCAAACACCACAGTATCTTAATGAATTCATACTTCTTACCTGCAATTTTTTTAATACAAGATTCCTATACTAATAATATTGGATGCCCCTTGAGATCGAGGATGGCCAACCCTAGGGCCACCTAAGAATGTATTTGTTTAAAGTGTAGAAGCTGTTGCCAACACAACAACCACACCCTAAGTTGATGAGCTGCATGACCAAGTATCAAGGAACAATCTGAGAAGACCAGACAACTCGCCAAAAGCACTGGCAAACCATTACCCCGGAAAATGATTCGCAAATCGATTAACATTCAGGTCCCCAATTACTGCTGGGTAGACAGAGGCAAATGGCGTAAAGAAACTTGCCCATAGTTTCACCGTGCCCGGGGATTGAACCCGGTTCCACTCGCTTGTGAGGTGAGCATGCTGACCATTACACCATACAGGTATACTGTACCTGTATATACATACATACTGTACTGCATTTACAGTAATCTCCTGCAATTAAGTTTTCTTGAAATTACAAATTCTCCCTAATAAAGAAAATTTTGGTATTTGTGGAATCTAGTATAGTATTGAATTCTCTAATAATCTATGTATAATATTCTCTAGAGGAAGAAATATTCTGAAAAGCAAGCAACTGACTTTTTAATTCTCAACTCTTCTGAATTCAGAAATTCAAAATCTAAAAGTTCACCTTTTTTTTAATATTTAGTGGAATTATCACCCCAATCCATAAGTACATTAATTTTTATCAATACAGTAACGGAAGCAATAAAAAATAATTTGTACTATACTGCTGGGGTATTTTTTCATATCTGCAATGCATGTAATGGTACTGTACTGTACGTGCAAAGCATTTAATTCGATAATTATGACATGATTATATTTAGAATCAAGACTTAGCATCCTTATTTGTGAATGAATACAGTATTGTACTTGCATATGCTTGTGCATATTGGACTGCCATCCTTGCTTACAGCATGACACAATACACTTCCTGGTGTTGAATAGCTAAAAGGATCCACTGGCTGACCATTATAGTACAGTACAATATTACCCTTCTCAAGACTATTCTAGGAGGCCTCCAAATGAGCCATAATTAATTTACAAATACTGTACATGGACAGGGTCCAGATGCTAACTTTGCCCCCTCAAGGAAAAATTAAATTGTTCATGTGAAAACAGGCAGCATCTGGTATAAGTTACCTCTAATCTTTGGTTTAATGTGACCAATATTAATTTTAAATGCAATCTGGAAACAATAATATTCTACTACTGTAATACAAATAAATATAAATACAGATAATCAAGGCACTGGGCTATTTATTCTATCAGGCAATAATTATTTATGAACTCTACATCTGGCAAATGTCATGACTCACTGGAAGCTGATGAGATGTAAAGAAACCCATTAACTCGATTTTGGGGAATTTTCAATTAATAAATATACTTTAATTAATGCTTTTACTTAAAGTATGTAGGCAACAAAAATTTCTTGATTTTGTTATTCAAGAAGTTAAAAAAATTTTAACTGAGTTTGTGTGAGTGTAGAAATAAAACTTGACTCAGCAGGAAGAAAATTTCCATAATTTAGGGATATAAATGTCTGGTTTGGGGGAATCTCTGGTTTTCTGAGACCCAGTTTTAAGGATCTATACCTGTACATTATCAGTGTGGGAAATAAGAAGAGGCAACTATGAACTCCTCAACATATCTTTACCAATCAGCTACCGTTGTTAGTCATCATCATTGTGTTAAGGCCATTTACAATGCTTGCATAGGCTAAAATTGATTACCTGATGATAGCTCTACAATTGCATGTCCTCCATGCAGTTTCTCTATCAGGTTTTTATCTCCTAGGTCATGTCTTGCCCTAACGACAAGACATACTGTACAATATTCTAGTTTATTGATAGCTACAGTTATGGAATTTGGCAGTGTGCAGTAGTTTTTTATACTGTAACAAGATGGGTGATCATGGCTGCCTGAACCCTCTCCCATGACACCCACATCCAGAGTTCAGCTGCATCTACACTGGCTGCCTGACCTCAACACTCATCATAGCTGGGACGCTGCTTCTGTCAACCCTTAGCAACGGAGTTCCCATACTGCACTCACCCCCCACCCAGCTTGCTAACTCTCGTGCACAGAGAAATGTTTATTCCCTTTGTGTTTTGACCTTATGATATTTATTTTTTTTTACCTTCTTTTTATGCACAGTACTGTATGGATGTAGGTACAGTATATATGTGCATAGAACTACATAAAAAAAAATAAAAGAAAAAAGTTATTATACTGTATCTACCTGAAATTACAAGATGAAAAATAACCATAACACCTCACAGCTCAGCCTGGTAGCAAGAAGGCCAGTGGGATGTGGCTACAGTGAAGACTCTAACTTGGCAACAATGCTGCCAGTGATGTGAACAGATGCAAAGAAAAAGAAAATTAACTGCATAGCTTCATTTGTATAAGGTATTTAGAGATTTAAAGCAGTATATATAGTAAATGAAGTTCATCTCTTCATGTAGCAACATAAAGGAAGAATCTAGGGGTATGGTAGGCAAGCCCAAGATAAAGGAGCTAACATGTACTGGGTAGCTATCGTTCACCATAAATGACCCCTCAAAAATACTACGCATATATAGTTCAATCCCCTACCTTTTTACATAAAAGCTTTATCATAAAAACTCGAATTGTACTCGAGTGTAGACAGTACTACAGTACTTCATATTCCCTGTTGGTAACTCAGACACGATACCAATAGGTAATCAATGCCAACCCAAGCAAGTGTGGAATATGGCCAGAAAATAATGATGACGATGATGATATAATCACAAAGTTCTGTACAATCTTTATATTATCTATTTCTGGAGATCAACCTTAATCTAGAAATTACACATACAGTACTGGACTGATATGTAATTCTTGGGTTTCCATCATGATGTTGAAAGAACTAATTTTTTCCCAACCCTCCCTGATTCTCTAATTATTTCCCATGAACAATACCTTAAATAAAATATATAAAAAATATAGCTAAAGTACAGTAGTAGCTATAGTTCCCAAGACTCATTCTTAGTGGCCCGGTATATTTTTTTTATGAATTTACACGAATAATCATATTAATGTACAAGACCTGCAGAAGTGAGTACTGTACTATGTATATGTTATAATAAATTCAACAAAGCCTGAAAGAAAGATGAGATGGAGACTGTGTACAGTATATATTAACAGTCCTTTATCATCATGTAAGTGACTGACACTAGATAACAAGCATTAGTCAACCTAATTAAATTAAAATTGGAAAAAAAAATTTGATTCTGTGATAGAGTTCTGGTTATTGTGCTCTATGACAATGTTACCTATGTTGGTAGCCTATAGATCTTTCATGATTTGAATTCAGGGTTAATATTTCAAAATTGCCAGGCATGTAACTAAAAACTGATTCTCATATAGGGAGATAGAGGGGAAAAAAATACTATCCTTTATAGCATTTCCGGCAGAAATTTATAGTTTACCTATTACCCAGCCAGTCAGCGAATGTTTGTATATCACGTAATACTGTACTTGTGAGTCACTCAGCGGAAGTTTAGATGTCACATAATACTGTACTGTACTTGTAAGCATGAACAAGCTCTGGAATTCGAATTGCATAGTTGCAAGATGGAGCCTGCCTATGAAGGTTGCTCCTTGGCAGGTTTGTGTTTAATTCAGCGAGTTTTTGGGAACAAAGCTGCAGTTGTTGACATCTTTAGGGCTCATGGTGTTTTCCCTTCTTCAGTCAAGTGTTCAATGTGTGATTCACACCGTCAGTATCATGAAGATCAACATACAGGCAGTCCCCAGGTTATAAACGAGGTTAAACTTTAAATTTACATTCTTTTATTTACCTGATAACTTTTTTAATTTTCATTTACTGTACTTTGTCATTTAATTTTTTCTTTTCTTTTAAATTAAGGGATTTTTAGATGTATATGAGGACTTAGGCTATGATAAAGTGGGATTTTAAATATTGTTCTGTAAGTACTGCACTATAGGGTATGTGGTTCGACTTGAGTAAAATTTTTTACTCACGAACGTCCCTGGGAACATAACGCATTTGTAACCCGGGGACTGCCTGTACTTGGTGTTGCAGTAAGAGAAAGACACTGCCCAAGAGCAAGAGATCTTGTAATTGAGAGTTTATAGTGTAAACATTTAGATGGACAAAGTACACATGCCAGCGTGGAAAACTTATTGTTCTGCAATACATTCATCAGAAAACACTTCTCTCAGTGCTACACAACAGGAAATTTGGAACTATCATTCTCCGACATCTGTTAATTAAGGTAAGTGTTTCACACAACAGGGGGCTGAAGGGGGCAGAGCCCCCCTGGCTAAGAGGTTAGGTTTGGTCCTTTTGGTTTCTCTGGTTAGGTAGTTTTTGTTAAGTTTCATTTTGTTAGTTTTTTTTGTTTTACCCCACAAATTTTAAGCCCTTCTCACTTTATGCAAACAATGTTGTTGATAATAGATAATTACTAATTTCTGACGGAAATGAAGGTCAAATTTGTATGAAACAAGATGAAATAAACTGTAAAAACCTATTTTCCATTGTAATTTCTGTGCATGGCAACTTCAAAATATTTAACGGGTTCAGTTTAAATTAAATAACATATACAGCTTAACAGCACAATAAAATCTGATAATTCATGAAAATAAAGTAATATAATGTGCTAGGCATCTAAAAGAATATTACTGTTCACGAAAATTGTATTACATGCAAATGAAGAAATCATTACAGTATTAAATGTTTCAACAACTACGTAGTCACCAGTGGGATTAGGTTACCTATACCCAAATTGTCGGCTATTTTTACCTACAAACAAACATTCCCATTGCTGTTAGAAAAACACTATGCTTTTCATTGTAAACAGTACACAAATATTTGTATTTAAGCTCCTTTGATAAGTGAGAAAAAAATCATTAACTGGAACAGTAATATTTCCAAGCAAAGTGCCCACTACTGTACTGCACTGACTAGAGTAACATTAACATCAACATGTGAATATCATTGTACCATGCTCAGATCTTTAAAGGTCTAGGGGAATGATATATTTTCAATTGTAAAAAATATAGTTATGTGAGTAGTTTAAGTGTGAAAAAGATCTTCTGTATTGTTATGTCTTGTTTTCATTAGTCCAAATCAAATGTCTCTATTGGGTTGTCAATGTCCAACTACAATTTCTTTGAAGGTTCTCATCTTACATTAGTCTCCCATGAAAAAAAACCTAACTTTACATATTTAAATTTCCTTGAGAACCCAACTGAACCTGATAAATATGTTAGGAAGTAAAGTTGTTAGATGGGGTGAGGGTGGGAGGGGTAGAGGTCAGTATACCCACCTGTATATGGTTGGGCAGTGGCATCTGGTGCTGGTGGGTGGTAGTGGAGGACGCCTCGCCACCCTCCACCTCCGCCGCCCCCGACGTCTGCTGCGGCTTCTTCTTGGGCAGGATAGTCATTTTGGCGAGTTATAATCCTCCACTCCTCCCTACGACAGATATATTTCACCCAATTATAATTTTCCTTCTAGAGCTTTGTCCAGAAAATGGCGAAAGTATGGTGTTATAGACTCATGAACCTTGTTGTCAGACAGGGGACTGGGCATATAGAGGATCACACCACTATAGATGGCGCCACTCCTAACAAAACTTAACCTATAAACCATGTCATTAGATCCAGTACTGTTAACGACCTTACGGTATAGGCTCCAGTGTATATTATAAACGTTATGACTTTCTTGGGTTTGTTGTCATTGTGGGGGTTCTGGGTCACGTGATCAGTCAACAGCTGATGGTGGTACACGCGGGACGACAGGTCAGGGTCTTCTGGGTGTTAATTACTGTTTTAATGTTGTGTGGAGGAGGAAGACATAGATGAGGTGCTATTGATCATTCTCTAGTGTCTGGCTGGAGGTGAGTGACACTATTCATTAATGACACGTAAGTATATGTGTGTGATACTGAACAAGACTTAGTATCCAGTCAGTACTTGTATATTAAATGATACGTATTGACAATTATATTATGTTTCTGGTATACGTTATAATGAACTGATTCTATCCTAAACCAATTTTAATCTGAAGTTAATTTTGTTTTAAAGGTGATGGAATCTCTGTTCTGGAGGGAGGGTTTTCAGTTACAATATATAAAGAATAATTCCACTGATATAATAAAGTTGGTGTTAGTCAACATTAGCTGCACACCTTTACTACCTACTGTAGGACATTTCACTATGAAATCAATGAAAAGTGCATGGACGATACATTTTGTACAATGTTAAAAAAAATTTCTTGAACACAATTTATAGGTTCCACGTACCTTCAATGCAGCCATGATTCCCACTCCACTTATTTGAAGGGTGAATGGTTCCTTTCTTTTTACTGCACAGGATACAGGTATGACAGCCATTAGCGAATTTTTATTTTTTATTGTTTTTTTTTTTACGGGGATTAGCCCATCCGGGCACAGGTCACTGCAGCCGCGTGTGCATGCATGGTGGACAGACTATACAAATATAGTTACTAAGATGGCCCTTTTGACAAACCTAACCTAACTTACTCTAACCATTAACACAGTCCGTTAATATGGGTGCCGTACCTATATCCAGTGTGATTTTTGGCATATGGCTGCTGTACTTGTATCTTCTACTTTTTTTTGTTGGTTAATATTCAGTGGAGTACATGCATGGGAACCTATATTAATTTGTATATAGGATGATAGAGCATAAAAAATGGTAATATTGCAGTAAACAGCAACCGCTGAATTCCGGAAATTCACTACATTCGATCGATAGAACTATTTTTTCTATGATAATTTTCTTGTATTACATTAGGTTAGGTAAAACATTTTTTTTATCAGATTCTTTGGTTGCTGTAATCTGCAATTTAAAAAAACAAAAATTAGGGTGTTTTCCGTTTGGGGACTAGACTCGGATTTTAATGAAAATCGGTACACTTATATTTCTCTTATTATCTTTCTTTATTATCAAATTCTTTTTCTTCTGTGTTCAGTATACTAATGAGATGATGTGATTATGCTGGAGGGAGACTGGGAGATCTGTTTGTTTGAAGGAGGGTGAGGAGTGTTAATAAAAGTAATAAGAAGAAAAGGAATAATAAAACTTTTTTTTGTATAATTAGTGTTACAATGTTTTCTCCACTAATTGCCACTGGATGAATAAATGGAGAAAGTTAGGTAGTTTAGGTTAAATCAGGATAGGTTAGGTTAGGTTTCTGGAATCAGCGTAAAGGACTGCGTTAGTATACCGATTTTCGTATAAATCCGCTGCTAGCCCCCAAATGGAAAAGAAAAAAACTGAATGCATTACTTGAGTCAATTGTGTGTTTGGTGAATTTTTTTTTTTTTTGTTAAATTATAAAGTTAAGAAAATTCATGCAGCTTTGGCAGTTCTCCAGTTTGCTGGAGCACATTTATTGTTTAATATTTCTTAATATGATATACACACGATCAACCTACACCAGTAAGGTTTGGTAAAGTTAGGACAGGTTAGGTCAAGTTCATAAGGTTTGATTGGTTCAGTGGGGTATGCTATAACGAACGGATCCTACTAAGAATATTCCATAACGAACGGTTTTACCTATAAAATTGAGAATGCTATAACAAACGAAACTCCTACAACGAACATTATTTAAAAAATTTTTTTTTTTTGCTAATTTATTGTTTTTTTTATTAAAAGTATTAATGATATTCTTTATTTCAGGGGTTTAGATGCATATTTATGCACTTTTTTACAATTTTATATTATATTTTTCAGTGTTTAAGTGGTTGTATTTGGGGGCCTGGAACTGATTAATCCTATAACGAACGAATGCTATAACGAACAAGGTTCTAGAACCAATTAGATTTGTTATAGCATACCCTACCCTACTGTATTTTACCTCACAGTTTCTCTCGACCACAAGCCCTGCCCACTTTATTCATTCATTGTCATGGTAGCAGGTCTTCTGTCCATGAATATTAATTTCTTCAAGAAATGATGGTCAGATTCTTTTAAATTACCATCAAAAACATAAGAGAAACAATTGTTTCAGATTAATTTTTTCTATTATAATAGAAGATGACTGTTAATTTAGGTTAAATTTGGTTTTATAAATTTGGTTAAATGTGGTGGCTTTAAATTATAAATTACCTGGTATATTGTAACAGTAAGTGGTACTGTACCTACAAGTTGTCTGAATGGTTCCTTTCACAATTTTATATTTTTTATATATTATTATACTGTACAATACTGTAATAACTAGTGTTTCATGTTTGGTATGGTATGGTTAGGATGGCCCATCTGTTAATGTTTAATTATATACTGTACACCAAATGTAGCTTTCCTCCACCCAGTTTGTTTTATTCATGAAGTATAAAATAAGTTTTCAATAGATATTTTTTGTTAGGTAACAACAATAATAATAATTGATATTCAGTCAATTTGACCAGGGACAGCTGACAAAGCCATGAGAGGCTTGTTCCCAGTAGAATCCTTATGCAAACAGCACAAGGTGAATAGTACATATGTTACCAAACATCCACAACTAGTTCATGGGTGACAAGTGGTGTAATAGCTCTGACATCTCACTGGCCCAGTTCAAAGTTACTACCTACTGCTCCATTAAATGATTCATACGAGATAAGATGAACCAAACCTAATTAAGGGGCAATCACGCTGGGCAAATTTTCAGTGTTTCTCGGAAGGAAACTGTGATGCAGGTGTTCTTGGTCAGATATCTTACGTGAAAACTGAGATCTGAGGAAATTGGAAAGGACAAGGGTTTTCTAATAATAATATTCATTAAATTTTCATACAGGTTTATAATTGGATAAGTATGTTTAGAAACAATACAAATAAAGGTACAGTGAGTTCTGCTATAACGCGTGTTTTGATAATTGAATTTGCTCTTGCGATTTATGAATTAGGAACGATATTTGTATAACGCGAACGCTTGTTTGCTATAACGCGATTTTTGCTTACTATTTCTCCAATTTTGTGGTACAGTGGGGTATGCTATAACGAATCTAATTGGTTCTAGAACCTTGTTCGTTATAGCATTCGTTCGTTATAGGATTAATCCGTTCCAGGCCCCCAAATACAACCACTTAACACTGAAAAATATAATATAAAATTGTAAAAATTGTAAAAAAGTGCATAAATATGCATCTAAACCCCTGAAATAAAGAATATCATTAATATTTGTAATAAAAAAACAATAAATTAGAAAAAAAAAATTTAAATAATGTTCGTTGTAGGAGTTTCGTTCGTTATAGCATTCTCAATTTTATAGGTAAAACCGTTCGTTATAGGAATATTCGTAGTAGGATCCGTTCGTTATAGCATACCCCACTGTATTAACTGTGAATATAGTAAAGAAGAATATCAACAAGAAGCGTTCTGGTGATAGAATTCCCGGTGATGATCGTAAAAGAAAGGATATAACACTTGAAGAGAAGCTCGATTTTATCAACCTCAAAATCACCCTTCTCCCCCATCAAGTAAAGTGTTACATTTACTGTATGATTTCATTATTAGATATGAATGTAACATTTATTTAGACTGTGCTATCCTTTGTGTTAGGCTAACTACTAAATTTTTTCGATTTCGAGTAATCTGCACCTAACCCTATTTTCTCCATAAGCCCTGTTATTTCTATTACGCGATTTTCTATAACACGATATTTTACAAGAACACAATTATCGCGTTATAGCAGAACTACCTGTATACAGTTCGGCATGAATTAGACATAGGTATATGCTGCACGTACAGTAGACTGTGGTATAGAGTTTCCTTTATGCCAACGCAGTGCAGGTAAACAATAATGGTAAACAGTAAGGCAACTTGACCACGGATAGCCAACAAAGCTGTCAGGTGCTTATTTCCAGAGGGTCCTTCTCGGACAAATTTTGACTGCATTTTGGATCCAACTGAGGTTTTACAATACAATAGTATTTATAATCAAGAGGTATTGATTTTATGAAAACAAATTACAATAGAATCCCAGTTATTCGGCACCTACGGGGTTTTATAGAGTTTTTCTGGTTAGTTGAAACTCACTCGTAGGATCCAATAAATCCTACACTGCACAATCCTACGGGCTGACCTTGCAAATTTGTCTAAGAAAAATTGACTTCTTTAACACTTATTCCACTTATAAATAATGTGGCATTTTAAATAAAGAAAATATAATATAAAACTATAAAATAAGAAAAAATGGAGAGCACATGTGGGAAGTGAATATGTGTTGAGGCGGTGGGATACTGGGCTATAACTGCGTGGCTGTGCTCCCTCCCAATGTAACATCACGGCATACACACAGCTAGCGTGGCAGCCACACGTTTGAGTCAGCTTGTAGTCCACCAGCCAGAACTGTGTCGCATCACTCTGAGGATGATTTGAGTGTGGAAGGAGCTATTTTTTGTACATAACATATGTGTTATTGCATTTTATGATATGCTAGGTATCGATTTTATTGTTTATCATAGCAATAAATATGGCAGCTCATCCATGTTGCACTTGATATTCAAACTTAAGATTCTTGCCAATTTTGGAGGAATTTTTTGTTATTATTTCATTTTGGTACCAGTTAGTTGATTACACTATAGTATAGTGCTTGATAATGGAAAACTGGGATTCTTCTGTATTAGGATACAATTCTAAGTGATTTTAATGCAAATATATTATCCTTTGAATACTTTTATATGTAGTACATATACAAATGAAAAATTACAGATGACATTTCATTTGACTGGAGTCTGTAAAATGCTACTAAGTCCACATAGCTGGCATTATATTGGCTATCCCCAGTGGAGGCTCCTGTTGCTTAAGAATAAGACGAAGGTGCAGGCTTTGTGCAAATTACAACAAAATCTAGGATAGCTTTTTGTGGTGCCGTGGTAGCGTTCCCTGTTCACAAGCAGTTATTAATATTGATATACGATCAATCGCCTTACGATGGCTTTTCGAAGTCCCTCTCCCCATCGTATAACTGTCAATACCTGTATATATAAACTGACTCGTATGCAGTCATTCTCTGTGATCTTGAGTTTCTTTACAAAAGATACTCAATATTATGCAGTGCAACTTCACCAGTATGTTGAAGTGACCCATAATCCACCCCAACTCATTGAGTAGATCTGGTACAGTGATTGAAAACTATACAAAAGTTTGGACACAATCTTGTCTCAAGTGTCCTCCACATTGTTTGAAAACTTCATTATAGATCAACTTTACTCATAAAAGTACTGTGTATTCTCTTTTTTATACATAGTAAAAACTGATACAAAAGTGTTCTATAAAACTATAGGGACTATTGTCTTGCAGGTTTACAAACATGCAGTTTGCCAAGGATTCCAAATTGCTGTTTGTAGGTGAAGGGGATTTCTCATTCATCACATCATTAACTGAGGAGAACTGGTGTACTAAAGTCCATATTGTTGCTTCGTGTCTTCAGGAAGAATTGACGGAAAGAGCCACAAGCAATGCTGAAGTATTGGCCGAGAGAGGTTGGTCCAATGGGTTTTTTGGATATATTTCTAGTTTATAGACTATAGTAGTACCTTTTTAAAGTATTATGTACATTTGTTAACTCATGATACTGTATTTAACATTCCTCTCTTTGTTTATTAACATTTGTATTTTCAGGTGTGCAAGTTGTTTTGGGAGTCGATGCCACACAACTCCACTTTCACCCTATTATTAAACACCACAAGTTTACTCACATTGTATTTAACTTCCCCCATGTGGGGGGGAAAATGAGAATTGATTTAAATCGTAAATTACTTCGTGGGTTCTTTGAGAGTGCTGTTTATGTCCTTGAGGAATGTGGTCAGGTTTTGGTGACACTCTGTGCTGGTCAAGGTGGTGTTCCACTTGACCCAGTTGTTCGAAGATGGGACGACTCCTGGCAGGTGGTTCTCATGGCTTCCTATGCTGACTTTATTTTAAGAGATTTTAAAAATTTTGATGCTTCGAGATACTCAGGGTATGCAGCAACTGGTTATCGGTCCATGGAAAAGGGATTTCATCAGAAGGGAGCTTTCACTTATATATTTGAAGTGAAACCTCTCAAACTAGATGGAAATATTTTCGACCCACAGTCCACAGAGAATATTCATATTTATGATGATAACTATATTAAGGTTCCCACATTCCTTTACAATAAGATAAAGAAAAATATATTTTCTGATAAGTCCACCATAATTGGTTACCTCTCTTATGTGTTACAAGAACATCTTGCTACAATAATTCCTGTTCATCATGGAGGTGATCTTGTGTTTGAGAGAAATATGCAGCTAAGTAAGTTATTCAATACTGAAAGTTTTTATCCTTTTACAAAAGTAAAGGATAGTAGCATCTATTTTTACCCAGCCTACAGATTATACTCATCAGGCTGTCACATGGATCCTTTTATCATTTTTGTTTGTTTAGGCCACTGTAGTGTAAAGGAAAACATTTTATCTGAAGAAATATCATTGGAAATTAGAAATATAAGCAAAGGTTTTTTCCCAAAGATGAAAAAGGCAACTTTGGAGAATCTCCTAGTAGAGAAATTTTGTATTTCTCATGATGGGAACAGCAAGAGGGACACATCTGTGTATGCTATCAATCTTGCATCTATGGCTAAATTGTATTTTGATGTGGATGTGGATGAGCTGTGGGGAGATGGTCAGAGTGTGAATATTGGTGATAATGTCATCACATATTCGTCTTGGAATCTCTTCCCTCTTGAATATATCTATGATCTTAGCTTTTGGGAACCAACAGATTCATCAAAAAAAAATTGTAATGCAATAATACAATCAGATCTCTCCGATGGTAATAATGACTTTGATCAAGACATCATTAATGTCATAATGATAAATGTAGGAAGGGACACCTTGCAAAGTAATGAACTCTTAAGCATGTATTTTCATCCAGAAGTCAAGAGAAAGAGTTATACATACAGAATCAGGTACAGAAATTTTTATGGGGCTCTCTCTGACTGTAAAGCAAAGGCACTCCATACTGAGATTGGAAGAAGGCTTGAACAATGTTTAGGTGTCAGGATTCGGTGAAAAGCTATTTTAGTTAATATGTTTTATCCTTATTGGTACTGTACACTTTCATTTTGCTTAAGAATTTTGCCAAAAATTTTTAGTTGCTGACCATAGTCATTTTGAATTGAGAAATACAGCTTCAATCCCACAGACACTGCAACAAATGAGAAGCTTATTGATGCCATCATGACCTACAGTACTTGTGTGAGACTTCTCCACTCTCATTTGGTGCATTATTTCACAGAAGTTACTGGCAATACAGTAGTACCTTCACCCACCAATGTCACTGTGCTTATGTCAAATGTTATTTATAATGGTGATTCTGTATATTAGTTCCTTCTCAAGATACCACTTCTGATGCAGAGTACAAATTATATAAGATATATTCTGGATGAAGACATCATTTCTGTTTAGCAGTCGTATAACATCTATTTAGAGTGCTGCAATTTTTCTAGTATAGTATACAATACAGTATTACCTCCCATGATGAATTAAGCTCAATGTCTGTAATAATTCTTTCGGATGTTTACAAAGTAGACAGCTGTTAATATCAATAAAATACTGTACCTAAAGTATTTAACAGACCTTTGATCATCACCAACAAAAAAATAATAATTTAAGGGTTTCCTTCGGCTATACAGTACTGTCAGGATACAGTATTGTTATAGTATATCACTTTTGTATAATTTTTCACACAACTATATTTTTGAAAGAATTATGATATGTAAATAATAAGAAATAAATTAACAAATTTTTATAAGTAAAAATATCTTTTTTGTTTCCTCACAAAAATCTTGTACACCCTAGAACAGTGGTTGCATCATAAGGGGTTGTATAGAGGTCTTGGGGTCGATGGGGTCCCATAGAGCTCTTAGTCCAGGTGTCAAGGACTGAAGAACGTGGCTCAGGTGCTCTCTCGTCAAGTCGGGACAATAAATTATGGTCAAGGGAATAATGCAGTTACTCTCCTTGTGTCAAGTCCGGTCAGTCCAGGTAAGGCGAACATTGATAATACGTTACGCAACAAAAAATGGCAGTAAATTTCAATGATAGAATCCCCGAGTTGCTTACGGCATCTTTGGATTTTGTTCAGTTTCTGTTCAAGACAGATGTAAAACAATGTGGCTTATTTGTCCTTGAAATAGCAGAATTACAGGCTGACAACAAGGCAAGGATGAATTTTGCCATCTATGATGACATCAATATTTTGGGTTATTTATCAAATTGACATTCAGCGGTTAAAAATCAAACTATCAAAATTCTGATACAATTTGGAAGCTCCTATGTCTGTGAGGCAGCTTTCCTGTCAATGGTGATAATAAAAAAATTATTACCTTAACCTCTTATCAAACTTAAACTTAGAAAATTGTGTGCTATGTTGTTTAATCATAATTATACCCCCAGTTAACAGATTTTTTTATTAAATTATAATGCATACACATTACATATGAATTATAACATGTAACTTGTATTGAAAATAATTATATGATGATGCACACGTCATACAAAATACGTACTGCATGACATACGAGTGGTTGTAACTAAGAAAATTGTATGTTATGTTGCTTAACCATGTAATTATATCCCCAGGTATAGAACATTAAATTATCAAAGAAACATGACAGAGTTGTAGCCTGTTTCTGCTAGTGTTTACTTTTAGGCTTCTAAATTATGTAACACATTTTCCTCACTTGTTTTTATAGTTAAATACGAATATCAATATGTCCGTATTTACTCTAAGGATCCTCATATATGCAGCTTATGTTATGACTTGGGCTCGCACTGGATAGGCGACAGTACTAGACGGGGTCGCACTGGAAAATGCTTGGGAACCCCTCCCGTAGAGCATGCTCACCTTTTAGTATCAATGATAAAAATTTTAACTTGGCCATAGTATTCCATTCCAAATTGGTTGAGCAAGACCTAAAATTTGTAAATATATATTGGTTTGGTATATATCTGTAAGAGGCAGTTTAAACTAGCAGGTCTGAAGCAAAGAATTGTGTCCAAGGTGTTCTAAAAAATAATATCAAATTACAGCTTAAGTTGAAACCTCACATGTGCCTAGAACAATCAATTGGTCCTCAAAGTGCAGCTGGAACCAAGGGAAGCATGGAGAGAAGAACGGTTTGTTAGGCTATGGAATCTGATCTATCATGAAATGCTAGCTGTGGCAAAACAGTTTCAGAGAAATCATTGGAGTAAAACAACAACTGCAGAGCTTTGTGTAAATAACAGCTTCAATCCTACAGAGACTGCAGCAAATGAGAAGTTTATTGATGCCATGATGACCTACTTAGTTCCGTTTGGGACACTAAACTGAAGAACAAAATATACAGTAATTGAAAGATTTATAGAAAGGATTGCAAGAAGGTAGACATGTATAAATGGTGGAGAAGTGGACGGGTTTAAGAGAAATAGGATTAATTTAAAGTCAAATTGTAGAATGTACAGCTGAGGTGTGTGATTCTGTGAAATAGAACTAAAAACAAGAGAAGGTAATTGTGGGATAAGGGGTTGTCAATGTTTGTTAAAAATAGTAGTGCATAATGAGTGTCAGTTGTACGAAAAGAACAGTGAGGAAGGAAGGAGGGGAACTAAAACTTGTAAAGTGAATGGTAAAAATGCAAAAGAAGAGCAGATGAAAGATGTGGGGAAAAGGTTGTCACAAGGTTCTAAAGAGAACAAAGTAGAATAAGAAAATCAATGGCAATGTAATACTGCAGTAGTGATCCGTCAGCCTCGGATAGTTTTAAGTGCAATGTAATGCTAATTGAATTCTATCAAATAAAATCTCACTAATTCTCCTGTAGACATACTATTACTCATTAGAGACCAAGTGTAAGCCTAAGCAAAGGACCCTCCTGGAAATAAGTACCTGGCAGCTTTGTCAGCAATCCCTGGTCAAGTTGCCTTATTGTTTACCATATTGTTTACCTGCAATGTCTTGGCACACAGGAAACTGCACACTGTACTCCTATGGCCTACATGCACTGTACAGTATACAGTACCTATATTTTCTATATCCATGCTGAACTGTATAATTGCATTTTATAATCATACTTATCCCACTATAAATGTGTATGATAATTTTACTGAATAAATGTTATTATTTATAAGGCAGAGGAAGAATATATTTTGAACCACTGTTAAATGTAGCAAATTAGAGAGGTGGAATTATTTTGTCTAGGATGTGATGGAATAAATAATGTAAAATAAAAAAAATCAAAGGGGATCTCACTGGGATGAGACAGTGAGCTTGGCTGCAACTAAGTTTGGAGTAGATGAAGTCACGACTCATATGTTAAGACTGGAAGGTGGGATAGAGTTGATGACAAGCATGTCCTGCTACATGTAGCAGATGAAAGGCTTCCAAAGGAAAGGCAAAGAGCATCATAATGAATGAAAAAAAAATACAGGGGAATTGATTTTTTATTTGAGGAAAAGTGTACAGTGTAGTCATTATTGAGAGAACTGCAAAGTGTGTTCAGAAAATGCAAGGTAAAAACGATTCAGAGAATAAGAACTAGAAAAACAAGGAAGATCTGTGAGTGAAAGAAGTGTTTGGCAGAGAGCAGACCAGATCGGGGTCTGCTAAAGTGGTATAGATATAATAAGGGATTGGGAATTGAAAGACACTGATAAAAGGAATGTATAATTCAGTTGTGGATGGTACTTAGGGGAGAGGAAGACCAAGGAAATGAAAGGATGGAGTTAAGGATACACTAGAGGTTAAGGTATGGTCATCTGGGAAGTAGTAGTGTGTGTGTGAATGAGAGAACAACATGACTAATGAGGAAGGATAGATAAGGAAGATGTGTATGTGTTTTCGGTAACCCTGTATTAAGTAGGAAAAGGACAAAGTTTATAGGAAATAGTTACCTAACTCAACTCTGTCCAAATTAATATTTTAACTAAAACCACATTAAGTGTAGTACATAGAGCTGAAGAGGTGTTCTTGTTGAATTTGAATAAGTGATTATGCATTACTATTTGTAAGAATCAGTATTTTAGAATACTATACTGCTTTATAAAGGATGAACCAATAGTGACTCAATTTGATAGTGTGTGCCATGCATGTAGGAACAGAGGAAAGGTAAGGAGGTAGTACAAGATGTAGGTTGCATATGCAATGATATGGCTGAATAAAACAAGACTGTATATCTCTCCTACTGTTCTCAATCTTTGTTCCCATTTTAACTACCAGTACTAATGTATTGTTTACCATACAGGTACAGTACTGTATATACCTTTCCAGGTACAGTACAAAACTGTACAATATTTCACATAGCTATTGTGCTTCCACGTAAACTTGGTGATTTACTGTATTAATTAATGCTTATTTTCTTTTTCAGGGGTGATTATTTCATAATACTGTACAGTACAATAACTGTCCAGTATATTGTATTGAAATTTAAAATGGCAACAGGAGTCACACTTACTTTGTGGAGGCCTTTCAAATGGGCATTCGGCTTTAGTTCAAGAAACTTTGTGCCCCAAACCAGACACTGTTCTAATGTAATTACATCCTGTGGTTACAAGGATGATCAACAAGCCAGTTTACTTCTGCAAAAAAATAAAAGCAGTGATACATGGGAAGGGGTGGATAATTTTAAAAAACCTGCACATATCTGGGATGAGAAGTGGAAACAAAAGGGAAAGGAATTCTTGAAACAGCTAAAAGAAAATCTGAATATGGATCTAGAAGAGAAGTTTACACCTTTAAAGAGAAGTAAAACTAAATCGGAAGCAAAACAGGTCAGTCAAGTAGTTCTATTGTATGGCAATATTTTGAATCGCTCTTACAAGCCTTCATGCACAAATTCTCCCTATTTTACAGTCATACTTCTAATGAATTATCTTGCCAGGGGTATTCAGTTTTGGTTTTTCCTTCCATAACATTTAAGTTAAGCAGTAGCTTGTCTTTTATTAACTCAGGAAGTTGCAACCCACCTTTGTCAACTGTTCCCACCCTGTGGGTTGGCATTAGGGGGGCATCCAGCCATAAAACTGCTGCAACATATGTGATGGAAACTGGGTCACCAGAACTGTGCCCAACCCCTGGTCTCAGCTGCATTATCTGGGCTGGCAACCTGGATTGGGGGGGGGGGGAGGGGTAGGGGGGCATCCCATTCTGCTTTTACCCAATAGCTGCCATCAGACAGCTGTAGCTAATCCACACAAGTATAGAAAATGTAGTTTACCTGCATTATATCATACATCACAAAAGCAGCAAGTGGCCAACTGACCAAACAAGCAGCTAACGTGCCAATCAGTGGCGAAGAGGATAAAGGTAAAAGTAAAAGCTAAAACACTTAACATCATACTACACAGTTGTGCCCTACCACCACTACTTCAATAATATCTTTTAGTGTAATGGAAATACAGTATAATAAATAGAGTACATGCAGAATGGAAAAAAGTTCTCGGTGGAGTACCACAGGGATCAATCCTTGGATCCACCCTGCTTGTGACCTACATTAATGACATAGATGAAAATGTATTAAGCTACATTTGGGAAGACAGCAAGTCTGGATGATGGTGCAACCATGCAAAATGATCTACACAAACTGTTCAAATGATTGCAAGACGGGCAAATGCTTTTTAACATACCCGGTAATAATGCAAGACCCTACACTTAGGATAAAACAACCCTTATCACAACTATGTTATTAAGACATTTCTGGATACTTGTTGATAAGGAAAAAGATTGTGGTAGGTCAGTCATTGAAGGCA